CTGTTTTCTCTTGGCCTTATTTGACCCCATCTGCCTTTTGTTTCTTTTTCTTCTTCTCAATAATGTGGCAAGCAATGGACAAGGGCTGGGGAAAGAGATCTTAGAGTATCTATAGCCTCCTCCATGATCAGGGAATGAGAAAAAGTCTAAGGCGAGCAGTTAGATCTCAACAACACGCCTGAATCCCTGCCCCCTAGATCCACAGCTGTGCTCCCTGTTCTGCAAGGGCAGCAGCACAAATACACGAGCCACCTTACGTGCAGAAAGGAGGTAGGGGAAGGACAAGGTAGATGTTCATGTCTAAAAAGTGACCTTGTAGGGGCACCTGGGTGGCTCCGTGGGTTAAAGCCTCTGCCTTCGGCTCAGGTCATGATCCCAGGGTCCTGGGATCGAGCTCCGCATGGGGCTCTCTGCTCAGCAGGGAGTCTGCTTCCCTTCCTCTCTCTCTGCCTGCCTCTCTGCCTATCTGTGATCTCTGTCAAATAAATAAATAAAATCTTAAAAAAAATAAAAATAAAAAGTGACCTTGTAATTAGGTAATCTTGCTTGGAGATTGCTGGGATTTCAGAACCAGTTTGAGACATTTAAACATTTAGCTTCCACATGTGGTCTGAGACTTTTAAGACCAAAACTGTAAAGAGAGGAAACCCTTTAAGTTCACAAAGTCATTACTAAATTATATACATGTGGGTCTAGTCATTTAAAAGGAACAATGAATTAGTAAAAATAAACCAAGTGTTTCTGAATTCTAGAGATTTTTTTTAAGTAACTTCCTATTCAATAAGTTTTGGGAATCAGGGGCCGATAAACAGAGTCGGACACCTACCCATTATGGCTTCAGTGAGTAAAATAGAGTAGGATCATCTCTCTGAAATGATAAAGGGAAAGGTATGGCTGGATCCTTTGGGAGGAGTAACATCCAGTGACCTATTCATGCTGTTGTGTCCCCAGTGGGCTCGGGTTGATGGCTCAGTTGGACAAAAGGCAGGAGCACAAACTAGGGCTTTTCATACACAGCTCTTTGGGGCCAGTTACATGATTGATCCTCATGGGATCTGTGAATAACCCAGCCTAAAGTTCAGCCCTTCTCATTCAGGACGTCACGAGAAGAGTGAGGGATCCAGGACTAAAGGAAAATGAACCCAGACATCTCCTTAGACCTTCTTGGCCACTTAAAAACAACCACACTGAGTTGACGTCTTCCCCCTTTGAAATACGGAATCCTTTAATAAAGGAATACTTAACTCTGTAGAGTAATGCCCTTTGTTTCTTGAATTTTAATAAGTTCTACTAAATAGGTGGCAAAGCCGTCTCTGTTGGCATTCGGACACTTTGGGTAGTACGGGATGAAGAACAACTGAGCTCAATACATGTGTCAGCCGTACTTATGAAATAAAATTATGTATTCCGGCAGTGATTCAACAGTAAGGTGTGTGGGAGCGTCTGGATGTCAAGACCCGTTTTTCAGAGGTTGCAGACGCTCTTTAGGTGGCCAAGAGGAAGGGTCTGAATGGAAACTCTGACCCTAAGAATACAGGCCGTTCCAACTTGGAAGCAGGTTGTGTTCCAAGACTGGCTGATAGTAACTGGCTTGTTTGGCACTTGAGCTTTCTCTTTCTGGAGAGAGGGCAACAGAGGGAGAAGCCCTGAGTCCAGGGCCTTTAGAAGAAAGAGGTGTCCCAGTGAGAGAGAAGAAAACCCAGAGGTCCTTAGCCCTGAAGACGGGGGACAAAAGTTCTAGACACAACCTGACGTGTCAGGACAGGCCATCATGGGGAAGGTGTGCAGTTCTTTGAGAAGCTTTCCAAACGTTCATCTTTGGGCAAGTTACTGCATTGAAAACAGGACAAGGTCTACCAACCTCCCCTGCACGATTGATGTCACATATGTGATTTCAGTCCGACATGTCCAAATTCTCTGTGTCCTTCCCAATTTGCTCCCTCTCTTCTTGCCTCAGTCCTCTTCAACCAATTGATGACCACGTCCTACACTTTTGAACCTCTAAAATCTCTCCTGAATGTTTCCATTTCCCTCTACCCCCATGCCACTACCCCGACCCAGCCACACTGTCCCTACGACCATGGGACACTTAAATGTGCCATACTCGCTCCTGCCTAGGCAGTCTCCTTAGGGATAGCCCCCAGCCCATTTATTATTCTCCCCTAATCCATTCTTGACAGGCAAGAGCTCTTGAGAGCTCTTAAAAACACAAATCTAATCTCCCGGCTCCTGCTTAAAATCATTCAAGAGGGTGTCATTGTCCTTTGGATAAGAATCAAACATGAATTTTAAAGCCCTGCATTATGGGACCCCTACCAACTCCTTCACCTTCATTAGTAAGTATCTTTCCCTCCTGCCCATTTCCCAGCTAGTCCAACCTCTTTAGGTCTTTTCAGTGCGCCACACTCCTCCCTTCCCCAGGCCCAGCCACAAAACAGTCCCTGGCCTTGGAACACTTTTCCCTCATTGTGCCCTCTTTCACCTGCAAAATCCTTCTAATAATACTTAGCTTGGGTTTCCTTACCCTCTCTATAGGGTGTAGGGCGACTTTGACACCATTGTTTGTTAGGATTTCAGAGGCAACACCCAAAACCTCCCCCCTCAAAGTACTTTATTGTGGTTACTAGCTCTGTTTTCTGATTTCCCTGCAGACTAGCAGGCTGGCGCCTTAGGGAATGTGGTGGTGAGGAGTGCCAATTCTGGGTTGTATTGGTTATATTTGGGGCTCTGTCCCCATATTTGTTGGTCAAGTCGCTTACCATTTTATGCCTCAGTTTCCTCTTCTCTAAAAAGAATAGTGCCCGCCTCATAGTTACTGTGTTAAATGAGTTAATGTATACACATATGCTTGTAAGTGCACTCGTAAAAGCCCTGCTTAATTAAGTGCATTTACTGCTGCATAGAAAATAAGTCTTTGATAAATTGAGATGCACACAGAACAGGTACTTAACCAAATGCAAACATGTTGCAGTTTTGTTTTGCTTTTGGAAAAGACTAAGGCTGTCATCCTGGAAGCCACTTTCTCTTTTTCTTTGTTTCCCATTAGCTTTATAAAATTTGTGAATCAAAAGTAAAAAATGTTAATACTCTGCTTGCTTCCCCATTTGCTCCACACCCCCCCACCTCCTCCCAGTCTGGGTTACCTTTAGGTGTGATGTAGAGATGTAAAGTGGAGAAATGGACAAAGAAAATCTGACTTTCACAGAACCTGCTTTTCTGTCAACTCAGAGGGATCTCTTGCCTTGTTAGTTGTAAATTCTGCCCAGGCCCAAGGGTCCTCAGTCCTTGCCTGTGTCCCACCCTGCCCCTGCAGAGGCCAAAGGCTGGAAGTCCAGTATGAGGAGGCCTGAGCACCCTGTTCTTTAAACAGAGACAGGGCGGTAGAATGCAAGCAAATTAAAGCCTTCTCAGTGCTTCCCTGCCCCCCCCCATTGTTGTTTGTTGTTGTTTTGAAGGCGTTGCTAAATACACTTCAAAGGGAAAAGGACACATGAGGGCAGCATGGGTTATGTGACATTTTGAAAAGGTCTTTAGAGGAGATGACAAAACAAGGAGCTTCCCACTCTCTTGGGCACTAAGTTTTTGTGCAAACATTGTGAAAACCCAATAAACATTGTACTGGGCCACCGATGGTGTGCGGGTGTCCTTATCACCCAAGTAGTCACCAGGTCTTAGAAGTTATTGTCATTTTGATTTTCGGATGAGTCATTGGGCCTCTTGCCCCCCAGGCACTTCATTCCCGAGAGCTCCAGCTTCCGGGAATCCGTGGTGTCGGGGGTGGGGGCTGCTGGTGGCTCCGCTGTGGCATGAGGCTTAATTGACACCTTTGATGTAGCCTAAGACAGAACCCGCACCTCCCACTGCTGCTTGGAAGACGTCAGCCTTACGCAGAGAAGGCATCTGCTGATGAATCCTGCGTCTCATTCAGCCTGCTCTGGGAGCAGCCTTAGCCATCCTTAACTAATCCAACTGCCTTCCCGTTCCGCGGGCGCTCGGCTTAGTGCTGAGAAGGGATCTCGCTTCTTGCTCTTGCCAGGTTAAACCCTAAGACTGTGTCCATGTTAGAACTCATAGAAGGTAAGTTCAATGCATTCTTGCTCTCCTTCATGGAAAAGATTTCTCGTGCACCCTCAATAGTGTGTGTGTGGCTCGTGGCTAATAATTCTCCTTCGTTGACTGTGGATATAAAACATGTGAAAATGTTGTCCTGTGTATGGGTGGCAGAGTGGCAACCTCATTTAGCTTTAAAAAGCCATGTCTCCGGAGTGTGTGATCAGTGCCTAGAGGTGATAGGACTCAGAGAAGAGAATTGCTTTCTTGAGTTCTGTGGCTTTGATGGCATTTAGTGATCATGTTGTATAAAAAGTCTGGAGAGTCGGGGAGAATTCCAGTGATTTAAACCTATCAGAAAGCAGCTTTTCTTTTCAGGAGCAGTGAAGACAGACTGCAAGGAGTTCCTGAGTGTCTGTGACAATTAGTTTGTCCCGTTGAAGGCAGGTCCTTCAGAGTTAGGCCGGAGGGGTATATAGGGCACAAGTGGATACGGGGGAGCTTCTAGAAGTGAGTTCTTAACTGTAAAAAGAAAGGGTCTTTTTTTTCAACAAGGCACTAGGAAAATCACTTGTGAGCTTTTCTAATATTTACTCCTACTGGGTGGTGCTGGGAAGCTCAACTACAGAATTAAGGGTGAATCCCACTGAAAATGTCTCAGGACCTTAACCCCATCTGTCAGTGCAGTTAATAAATTCATCGGGAAAGTTGTCCCGAGTACGTGTTTAAGCATTTTTGTGTAACCTGATGCTATAATTAGCACAGGATTAGCAAAACCATGAATTTCTGAAGAAGATTATTCCCGGAAGCTGTTTTTCAGGACGACAGATAGAAAGGTGTCGGAATTTTAGCAAATGTCCCTCTATAATTGCTTGTTCCTCGGAGAAGACGATGTGTCATGAAAAATTTTAACAAGCCGTTTTTTTCTCTCTGTGATTCTTCGCTTCTAGTTAATGGAACCCCTGGTAGTCAGCTGTCTACTCCACGCTCGGGCAAGTCGCCAAGCCCATCACCCACCAGCCCGGGAAGCCTGCGGAAGCAGAGGGTAAGGAACTAAGCAAGCTCCTTGTTTAAGACCTGCCTGAGCTTCTGTGCAGAATGACACAGGGGCCAGCTCCCAAGAGCCCTGCTTGTCTCTAAGTAATAACCAGGTGAGGGCAGGCGGTGACCAGTGGCGGGTCACTTACGGTGACTATGGTTTCTCTTAGCTAGAACTCGGGGTTTTTATTTTCTCTCAATTTGTCCGTAGCTTAGCTCTGTGAAGAGCCAACAGTTGCTGCCTCACTTTTAAACACGCCACCTCTTTTTTGTCCTGAATGGGCAAAGACGTTATTGGCACTGGTTTGCAAGCTTCCTTGGTTGTGATGAGTTTCATCAGACCTCATCGCTGACCATTAGCCTTCCTGAAGAAGGAAAAGGAAAAGAAGTGTCATTTCGGAGAAGGGGGCCATGGTGGGGAATTGCTTTCTGGCACAGAATGGTGGTCCAACCAGCTTAGGGTCCATGGCTCAGGGGGATGGGTACAGATGACATGTGTATTTGTGAATGAAACCCTCATCGAGCGCCTTCTCTTTCATCACTTATTTATTTATTTATTTATTTTATTAGCTTTTTGTGTAATGTTAGAGAAGTTGACTGAACTTAGAGACCAAAGTCAAAAAGTTACTGGAAAGAGTGTTCATTTCTCCACGCCTAGGGATGGGGAAGAACTACAGTTCTTATCCCCTCGCAGCCTGCACTGTGTGTCTTCTCCAGTAATACTGCGGAGGGATTAAAGGGCTGGGAAGGTGCCAAGGAGAGGAAGGTGCAGAGGAGGGAAGGCTTTTACTGTCCTGATTTCACGAACAAGGTGGGGAGGAACACGTGCTCTTGGGAGGTTTTCTGGTGGCGCTCGCTGAACATTTTAATAAGAAAGGGCTCCTCGGAGGCTTCTGAACCCAGAGACTGGACTCTTAGTTTGCTTTCTTTTATTATGTGCTTTAAAATGAAACTTCTAAGTTCCATAACTTTAAACTGCATCCAGGATGGAAGCTCTTCTCTTCAAGCCTCCCGCAAGCTTGCGTCCACGTGCCGCCGTCTAAAAGCAGGGGCAGGGGACTCGTTCGGACCCCGGTCCCTTTGGCACCTGGCCCACCAAGTGTCAGGTTGTGCTGTCTTTCTCCACGGAGCCTCCCGGCCTCAGGTGTCGAGGGTTTAGATTCTCTGACGAGGCCTGAGCTTTGGCACCGGGTCCTCCACTAAATGGCTGTTACCTTCGATAAGTCTGTTATCCTCTCCGAGTCTCAGTTGGAAAAACAAAATGAGAAAGAGGCTCTTTCCAGATAGAAAACGCTATTCTTCCATTCCATCTGAGTGTTTTCCCTATGAGTTTGTTGTTGGCCACAGTCTGGTTTGGCGTTTTCAAGTACAGGAATCATTAGCGAACTACTAAAAGAAGAACTGGCAAAATTCAGGGAGGCCCCTAAGCGTCTACCCTTGAGTGGAGGAAGGGGAAGGAAGGTATTCTTTTCTAGTAAATGCTACCCCGTCAGGCCCCCTTCTGTAGGGGCAGTCATATACGGCACAGGTCGTGCTCTTCCCAAGAATAGTCTCTCTTTTGAAGTGTCTGCTTTAGTACACCTGGCATACTAATCCCTCTCCATCCTTTGAGCAAATTAAACTCAAATTCAGGATCAAGTTCATGTTTAGTTGCTGAAACTAAATTATGGTGACCGAGAGTCCTTGCCATGGATTTGAGCTTCTCTCCCTGCTTGCTAATTGTGGAGACCTCCATCGTGGGGATACAAAGTGCTTTGCCCAACTGTCCCTGTGTTGGCAGAAGGAGGCTAGAGTTTACTTCTTCTGCCCTCGGCACTCTCGGTGTCACTATGATTTTGTCCAGATGAGGCAGGACATTTCTCTCCAGTGACTAGCAGCTGTGTGGCCAGTGGCTTCTATAATTAACATTGCCAGCACTTGGGAAATGATTATAAGGGGTGGTTCTCTTGTAGCTTCTTCACTGTGGCATTTAAACTACCAGTGCAAGCATCTACTTGAGAGGGAAAAATAATCCCATTTGTTTCAGGGAGACAAAGGGTTGATCCTCATCTGAAAACACTTATTGAGCACATGTTGTCAGCAGAGCATTGGATAATTCAGAGGTGGTTCAGTTTCCAGGCTTTTAAATTTCGGCCATAAATGAACATCCTCCATCCATGTACCATGTCAGTGCGCAGAGACATTCCCAGCTGCTTTAGCAAGAGAAGCTTTCATCTTGGTGTGGAGGCAACTACATCAAATAACCCCGCCCAGTTAAAATGGGCCTAGAATATCCCTAAAAACTGATCCTGTTTCAAATTTGGTTAATCCTGTTTCAAATAATGGTATAGCCAATGGTTGGCTATACTCCTATGCAGGAAATACTGAAATAAGTGAAAGATGGCAAGTGCTAAAAGAAGAGACTTCAAAGAATAAATTAACTCTTTTTATTGCAAATTGGAAAACAGTAGCTAGTTCTATTTTTTCTTCTGTGTTGCCTAGCAACATGGCCAGGAAAATGAGTTGGCTGTGCACCTCCCAACACACACACACACACACACACACACACACTCTTACACTGCCTACTTTGCTTTAAAAAATAAGAATGTATTTTTTAATTTTTAAAGGACTATCAAGACATTTGATCACTTTCTTCACGATTAAGAAGAAACTATTTTATCTATGTTAATTATGATGACTTAATCAGCTTTTTTTTCCTTCTTTCAAAATCATATTTTTATGTTACAGCTTTGGGGATTTTAGAGTAGTCATATACAATAAGAGTCTGCAGGCCAGATATTTTTCTTCATAAAAGCATTGGTGGCAATGTACCAAACAACCTCCCTATTTTTCCAAAACACTATTATTTAAATTGCTGTCTAGAAGCATTTAACTGGTCACAGAAGCAGATCTTAGAGGATCTTTTCCATCCATGAATTTTCTGGGGTCTTATTTCTTAATACATCAGGAAGAAATGTGGTGTGGTGTGTAGGTTGAATGAAGCTCCCCATTATACTCCCACATGGCTGACTTGTGTAGATTATCTGATCAGTCAGATGATGTGAGGAGTGGGTGGTACAAAATAGAAAAGAAGCCAGGATTCTAGACCGTCTGCAGATCTGAGCTGGTTGCCTGGCTACCAATTGAGAGATCTCCTTGCAGAAAGGGGTGGAGGGAGGAAAAAGGGAGGTGATTGGTAAGTGGTTGGAGAACCGGAAGAACATTGAGAAGGGAAGGTGAGGTCAAGCTTGCATTTTTTCTGTCTTCCAAATACAAAATTTTGGAGAGACAGTTTTTACTGGGTTAATGTTAACGCGCAAGGCAAATGAACACTTGGGTTACTGCTCTGTGACCGGAATTTGCTGAATGCCTTCTGGGGTTCCTGACAGATTATTTTGTGAGGTAAGCACACTCCTCTTCCCCCTACAATGGGAAGAAAATGTTCAAGGAAGAATTGCCTAGACACATAGTAGTGGAGTTGGCTTGGACAGCCATCAGGGGTTATAAAACTCAGCAGGACACAGAAGGCAATAGCTCAGAAGCAGTTCAAGCCAATAAGGCAAAATAAGCACCATTTATATCTGTTTAAATGGTTTCTCAGTCATTACCTTTCCTCTGACCCAAATTTGGAGATTCTGAAAGGTCTGATGACATTAGAAACCAAGGATGCTCATTCATTATAGCTCCACTCCTAAGAGAGCCCCAGGGCACCCAAAAAAGCCAAGTAAACAAATCTATACCGCCCTTCATCTTACAGGACCTGTATCGCCCCCTCTCTTCGGATGATTTGGATTCAGTAGGAGACTCAGTGTAAAAGAGACAATGGAGCAATGTATATGGTTTGTGATTGGGTGAAGGTGTTTCACATTTTCTAAGAAAAGTCTAACAGCAAAATACACAAAAGAGTTTTGCATACCTTGAAATTATGAACTCAAGTCATATAAAAGTAAATACACACACATTTTATAGTCATGATGTTAATCCTTGGAGATTTTTTTTATATGTGTATTTCCTGCATTGATTTGATTGGGGGAGCTCAATTGTTTAGGTTTTTTGTTTTGTTTTGTTTTGGTTTGGTTTGGTTTTTTTTGCAAGGCCTGGCTTTTGATGAATTTCATATATGGACCCAATATTGAGTACAAGAACAAGCTAATGATGTAATATAAGGTCATAATTTCCACAGATAGGGTTTTCATTTAATCATAAGTAGACATATAGATACAATTTTTCCTGTACTTTTGGTCAGGCAAATTAAAATGGCACCAACAGACATGTTTTTTTTTCCTTAAAGCTATATTCTTTTGAAAATTTGGATTGCTGATTTTTTTAAAAGATTTTATTTATTGATTTGACAGAGAGAGATCACAAGTAGACAGAGAAGCAGGCAGAGAGAGAGAGAGGGAAGCAGGCTCCCCGCTGAGCAGAGAGCCTGATGCGGGACTCGATTCCAGGACCCTGAGATCATGACCTGAGCCGAAGGCAGCGGCTTAACCCACTGAGCCACCCAGGCGCCCATGGATTGCTGATTTTTTAAAGCTACTTCTATGGCAAAATAATTAAAAATACTCAAGTCAATTTTTTTTTTTTCTTCCTGGACAGTAGACAAAGCTACCTAACATTTTGTGGGTTGATATATCTGAGGAGAAACACTCCTGTTAAGGACATATCTCACGAAGACTCTAACATTAGGTGTTAGGAACTTTCCTTGTTTTTTTTTTTTTTGCCAAGCAAATTTTCTTAAACTTACCTTTTTATTGGAAGCAGCATAAATATAGATTAAACAATATGCCAACATGAAGAACTTGTTCAGTGCCATTGCTATGAATTACAACCACATATGTAATTTTTCAAATGTGAAATGGCTGAAACTAGAAAAAAAAATTTTTTTAAACACACAGGCTTAAAAAAATAGTGTCTGGATTTTTTCTAAGAAGAATCAATTTAAAAGCAAAATTCTCTTAAATGGTGCTATATAAATCAGGCCTTCAATATCCAAATCTCCATTTAGAGAAGTCCTGATGTTTTGGA